GGATGTCGTGCACAAGGAGATTCCGCTGTGACGACTGGATGACCATCATGGTTGCTCCCGACTCCTCTTTCTTCATCTTTTTGACAACGTCACCGACCTCGAGAAACGCTTTTCGGCGCGTGGTAACTTGGGTGATCTTGAAAGCCAGCTTCTCCTGATACGGAAAGCACTCCTGCCAGCTGGAGTCGGCGGGTTCCTCGCGACTCCTACGGACGAAGAAGTCTGAGTACAGCTTGGTGATGTTCGGCAGATCCTGGCCGCCATCTTTGTTCTTCTGCTGGATAATGATGTGTGCCTTGTCACCCGTTGTCGAAAATACACCAAAGATTTGACGGTCGCCCGCGCTGATGTGCGAGAGGTAGATGTATGACATGCGGGCGCCATCAAGGTAGGGTGTGGGCTTGGTGGGTTTCGTCAGGCTGGACAAGTCGAACCCGTGATCAAGACCTTTGCCGAGCACGCCGGGTTGGGTGTCGTCAATGGTGCAGCGGTTGCCCAGCTGAAGGACGGCCCGCAGATTGAGCGGGAGCTGTTTCTCGTACACACCTTCGACGCTGGGATGGTTGAACAGCAACGAGAACTTCTCGGCCTCGGCAAAGTAGATTTCCTCGGGCACCGTGAGCTTGAACAAATGAACTGAGGAATGCCCGTTGGGGAGCGTGTGGTAAACCTGCTCGACATGGCAGCCCTCTACCTCGATGTCCGGCAGCTCCTTGCTCTTCAAGTTGAGGAAGACCTGTCGCGGGACATTCACCTTGACGGCGTGGATCTTGCCATCGATGAGCACATAGGCGAGGACAATGCCGGGGCTGTCGGTGGTCCGGAGCTGCAGTACCTGCCAGGTGTTCCTAAAAGTTATCTCGGCCTGGTTTCGGAATGTCTGCTGGATGTTGCTCTGCAGGTTACTGCGCCTGTCGCCAAACAGATGTCTCCGCCGCGCTCTTGCTTGCTTTTGAAGTTTCCACTTCAGTTTTTGGTATTCCAAGAACGCCGGATAGTCTTCACTGGGGGGAAGGCATCTTCTTTGGGAGAGTGGCAAAAGGGTCTTGGTTCTCCGCAGGCTCAGGGGACTTGCGTTTCTGGGACCGTGGTGCCTGTGTCTTTTGAGATGCGGAGATGGCCGAGCTGACCGTCTTGGGCTTGAGCAGCGCGCCAATGTCCTCAACATCGCCAAGTAAATTCGGCGCAATCTCTTCGAGGGGCCCGCCTTTGCTTGTTGGCCCAAAGAGATCCGTGAGTTTCTTCTGCTTCATCTTGTCGTCCTTGATGTTGATCCGGCGTTGTAACCAGTCCGGGTGCGGCACGCGCGGCACCGGGTTGCGCACTTTTTGCAGCGCCGCAGGGATGGTGATGAGCTTCTGAATGACGGATCCCAGACGTTCAGTGTAGTAGTCCCAGTCGAGCAGCGCTCTTGGATCTGTGTCCGCTGGTTCCTCCTTGAGCCATTTCTTCAGATACAGGCGCTTCGTCTCCTCCTCCGCGGAGAAAATGGCAACGGGGACGGCGCGTTCAGTGACTGGAGCGCTCTTCGGCCTCGCGCAAATGATGAATTTGCAGTTCAAGCCCTTGTCCTTGACCATGCCCTCACCCAAGAAATCTGCCAGACGTTTGGCGGTTGTGATGGACGTTGACTTCTGACTGCCGTACTCTTCCAACGTCTTGGTCATGCTGCGGTTCTCGGAAATGAGATCCATGAGTTCTTCGTCGGCGAGGGTCACGCCTTTGCTGTGCAGAACGTCAAGCCACTGATTGGCGACTTTCGCCACGGCGCCGTAGCACTCGGCCAGAGTCGTGCCCTCCAGGAAGAATTTGAAGATTTGCTGCTGGAAGATCTTGATGAGCTTGAGCTCACCTCTCCGTTTGACCTCGAAACCCTTCAACTCCGCCAAGCTGCCGTCATCGTTGAACACAGCATACCTCTTCTTCAAGTTCTTGTCCTCCTCTTTTGAGGTGGGGAGAATCATGGCTTTGTAGGGGCCGTCGACTTCGAAGAAGATGGAGTTATCACTGTGTGTCTCATACTTGAAGGTTTTGGGGTCAACCAGTGTTTGGTACTGGTGGTTCGTGAACTTGGCATGGACTAGGTGGTTCAACATGACACAAGGATAAGAGATGGCGAGCTTCTTTCCGTTCTTCAGCTTGAATGCGAAGTTCTCTGGGAATGTGGCCGGCAACATGCACCAGATACCGTCTGTATCAAGCTCGAGGGGACGGCCCAGCCGCTCAACCAAGGATCTGGCAAGCTGAATGATGGTTGCTCCTGTCAGGCAGGTCACGCCCGCCATCTCCATGGAATACCAGCGGGAACCTTTCCGCATGACGTAGCCATAGAAGGAGTTCAGAATGACCTTGTGCGCCAGTTGCAAAGAATCGAACAGAATGATCATCTTCTTGGCGCCGTCCACCTCGGAGGCAGGTGCCCCTGAGCTCTTCAAAGCATCGGTTTTGCCTTTCCAGACCTTTGCCTTGCCCTTGTAGTCGTATCGTCGGTCGCGGAAATCACGGACGGTGTTGATGTAAAAAGGGTTTTCTCGTTGGCAGATGATGGCTTCCCGTACGATGGTGGTTGAGTCGCGGATTTTGTGGTAGACCTTCTGCGAGTACAGCTGCATCCTCTTTTTGGTGAGCGTTGTCTGCTCGTCCAAACTCAGATCCTGCCACGAGCGCAGTGGGCTGTTGGCAAACTTGCCCGGGAACTTCTCGTTTTCCAAGGCATGTCTGATCATGTTGTACTCGTCCCGTTTCGCTGGTAGGTACTCGCCTCTCCATGCCCAAGGCATTCGCCTGTCGCACGTCTTCCCAGGCCGATTGAAGTCGCATGCCGCACAATCGGATTCTGAAATCATCGAGTCGGGTTGCAGCCGGTTGGTCGTCATGATGTTGGGGTACATGGAAGCAACATCAAGATGGTAGATTAGGGGTCGCTCGCTGCGGTTGGGCGTGTTCTTGAGGTCGAGGAGCTTCTCAGTAATCTGCTGCTTGATCTCTTCGTAGTTGGTTATATCATCCATTGACTTCTTCTCCTCAACGGTGATGCTGAAGGTTAAAGCGGAGTCCAAATCACGCAGCAGTTCGTCAATGGCCCCTGGGTCCACGGCAAAATTGACTGGTATGTCTGCCCGAAAGACACCGGCTTCAATACTCTCGACGTGCCCGCCAACGTAGGTTTCCGAGTCTAACAGATGGCCATCCCAGAAAGCCTCCTTTGGCGCCATATGTTTATTTGGCAACACGATCTCTTTTTGGTAGGCTTGCACCATCAGCAACATTTCGCAGAGCGTTCCTGTGCCCTTTCTCAAGGTGTCGTCGGGACCGAGCGGCAAGATGGTGCATAAGGAGAAGATAAAAGGATGAACGTATTTCATATACAAGTAGTAGGTCGCGACGGCATCGGAAACCGAGTATTCGGCTAGAGTCTGCGGTCGCTCGTTGGCGTAGGGTGTCATGAGTTCAGGGTCGAGCTCATCGGGATCGTATCCGAGTTTGGCGACGGTGACGGCTTTGAGGCCTCGACTACCCTGGGGGAGGTAACTGTCACGATTGACCCAGTGGAAGCAATCCATGTGTACGCTGTAGTTGCACTTGAACTGGTCCTCAGAGTCTTTTTTCCACCCGATCTCGTGATACATGTCGATGCCGTTGAAGCTGGCGCGAGCTTCGACGAAGGGCCAGTCGAAGAAGTCACCGTTGTATGTGGCGATGACCGTGGGTCTGGCCTCCTTGATGTGGAGGAAAAAGCGTTCAATGAGTGCCTTCTCGTCGGGCTCGTTGAAGATCATGAACGGCCCAGGGTATTCTGGTTTGGGGTGGTAGTCGAAGTCATCAATGTCGGCCGAGACGATCTCGCGGTTGGTGATCAAGAACCCCTGGCCGTCGATCATGTAAGACACCATCATGATCTGGTCAACGGCAGAGTCGGGAAATTTCAACGGTGCCTTGCACGTCTCGATGTCGAAAGCCATGACGACGGGGTCTGCCGGCGCCAAACGTTCCTCGTTGCGAATAATAGTCGTGACACCGTTTTTTGCCTCCACAAAATACCAATTACCCACACGGATATCTGTTACATGTCAGTTCAGATGCCCCTCGCTTTCGCCAGAGGCCAACGTACCCAAGTCTATCATTACTCGAACGTGGTATGGCACGTCGTATTCGCGGATATCGACAATGAAGTCGCTCGCCTCGGCAAAAGATGCATTATTCCGCCGGTCATCAGTTCGTGGGTCGTCGTCAAAAAGATCGAAATTGCCGTTCGCGCTGTGTCCCCATCAGTTATTGCGGTCTGCCACGGGATTTCACATAAAACTCACGTTGCGACTTCGGCGTATGTGTCCATGGCATCCATCCCCTTTTTGTTCTTCTCCGCAATGGGCATAATATCCCTTCTTGCTGCCAGCAAGTCTTGTACGTTGTGAAACCTCAACTCGATAAACGTCCTCCGGTACCCAAGTAAGTGGTTCGGCATCTTCAGGTCTTCCTTCTCGACCCGTTTCATGCCCTTGACCACACCCTCGCCCGGTACTCGCTTGCACCATTCTTCAACCTCGCCTTCGTGTCCCTTGCGACAGGCAATTAGAAAGTATGGCTCGTATTCGACTGTTGCCTTGAACGTTGACCCGTCCTCCTCAATGAAGTAACAGTCGAGCGCAGAACGGCCTCCGCCGCCGGGTACCCTGGGGTCGTCAATCGAGGTGGGTTGTATGTTCACGAGCCACCCTTCACGCCTCTTTCCTGCGTCGTAACGGCTGAATCCCATGTTCTCGTCGATTTGGTGTGCGAGGGCTGTCCGCTCCCATTTTTCGTCTATGGATGTCGCCTCGCCGCGTGCATTGGACGATGCCGCAAACGTCTTGGTTCGTGAGCCATGGTAGGCAGCTTTCCCGCCACGGCGGTAGCCCTTTTGAGGCCGTCGAAGGGATGTGTTGGGCATTGTCACACTGGAAGGAAGAGGTTGTCCTGGGCCTCGTCGTGTTTCGTGAAGCTTCGGATTGGTGTCGGAGAGACGTGTTAGGACAAGACGCTAAGGAAAAGAAGGGTATCTGAAAATAAAAGAAAACTCCGTCATGGGAAGGTCCGCATTGGAGTTTCGAGAGTTTCGAGAGTTCGAGAATGCTTGGTTGCCGGAAATCCAGCTTGCGGTGTGCTCGTTGGACTGAAAGCCTCCATGCCGCCATGTGCGCTGGCAAACCCATTAAACTCCCTTGTCCACAGACGCGCTGGACCGCGACGCGACGCGACTGGCGGGGCACAGCGACAGGGCTGTTTACAGTGGTCAAGACCCTAACCCTGGTAACCTCTTTTGCCTGCCGACAAACCGGGAAAGCACGGGCCGAACCGCAGGTTGAAGATCGAGCATCTTGCAGCACTGTGGACGCGGCCACAATTGTTCTCACTGCAAGGTATGTTGAACTGGGCCCCAACCCCACCCCAGTGTAAAGTCAATGGCTAAGATGAAAACATTTAAGAAATAAGGCCTACACACGAAGCGGATGGGCCATACAATCCGCTCCACACCCGCTGTTAACCCCGACGACACTGTCTGCCCCCGGCGGCTGTCCCAACACCCCGCGCCCCATCTGAGCTCTCGCTCTCTCCCACCATGACAACACCACAACCCCCGACCAGGGACCAACCCCCCGCAGACCCCAACCGTTACTGGGTCCAACAATCAGAAGCCGCTCCCCCAACAACACCCTCCCTCCCCGGCCACCAACAACCACCACAACCACCACGACCCGGCGACGGCCGGCCCCGCCGCCCCACTATAACCGAAGCTGCGCAGAGCATCAAGCCGGGCGACTTCCTGACCTTCCACCAGGCGCCGTGCGCGCGTACGGGCTTGCTGACGGGGATTGGGGCGGGGGCGGCGGTGGGGGGGATCCGATGGATCATGGGGCTGCCGATCCCGCGGGCGGCGAACTGGGCGGTCGGGGCGGGGGCGCTCGGGGCGATCGCGCAGTACGAGTACTGCCAGCTGAAGCGGATGCAGGAGCGGGAGAAGGTCAAGCGCGTGGTGGAGGTGTACGCGGCGAAGCAGGCGCGCGAGAAGAGGGAGAAGTATGAGGAGGAGAAGAGGGAGAGGGAGAGGCTGGAAAGGGAGGAGGAGGAGAGGAATAAGAAGAGGTGGTTCTGGTAGGGTTGGGTTTGCGGGGCGGTGTATGATACAGCGTCACTGGGGGAAGGAAGCTGTCGAACCGGCATGGTCTCTGTGGAAGTGGGTGTCGAAATG